TGGATTGGAATTAATTCTCCAATAGCAAAAACCGAAATTTCCCCTATTCACACCTGGAATCCAACAGAATGTACAAACATGCCCAGTGCAAAAGAGAACCGAGAACCCTTGAGTGCTGTTGAGGAAGTTTAAGTGTTTTTTTAGCCTTTTGAAACTACTTTCCATAAGCAGTGAAGCTGATATAATATAATATAATATAATATAATCATATTAAGACCATCTGTCTAGACCATCTTGTGACCCTACAAGTGATTTGGCAAATGGATAGATGGATAATATAATATTATATAAGTGTTTCACCATGTTTAATCAACTTGTTGACATATAAACAGATCTGTGTGACAAATTCAGTACAAATATGTAATCTCTCAAAGAGAAACTATAATAATCTAACAATAATTAGATAAATAAAGATAAATTAAACAATTTCAAATAGTTTTCAGTGGAGTATACCATGATGACACACTGCAAAACAGTGCTGACATTGCTTGAATTTTCATGGCAGCTGCCCAATTATAGCATGCAGACCATCCAACAAGCAAGTTATTTTCCTGTGGCGTCAAAACAAACTGGTGGAAGAGGAACTTCCCATATTTTGTTGAATGAAGAAAGGCAGAATAGTTAGGATCAGCCATGATGAAAGGAGCTGAAAAAGCAACAATTGGCTCAAAACTCCGCTATTTGTCTCTGATTAATCTGCGCAATATTGATCTAGTGTCTGTATAGTAGTGAGTTACAGGAGGTTTCAAACAAACCTTCACAGTAGTACATGTTGTGGATATTTTGCATCAGTGTACTACTGTGCTAAAATGAATCTCCCCACCTATAAAGTGCCGTCCTAATTACTAAACGAAGTGCAAAGACATTAATGAGCACATCGGCACAGAGCAACAGCCACAAAGATATAAACACTACAGGCAGACACAACTCAGCAACACCACAATAATTAACCGGTGACCTTTTGCACTGCAGAATTTGTGTTTGCATATTTAAAGGTTATTATATAACACATTAAAAATGTTGTATTTGAACAAGAACTACTTATTATGCACATTAACTACTTAGTATGCACATTGTGATTGCTTTGCTGAGTGGAGCTTTTGCAATGTTTTAATTATTAAGTGGAGAGACAGGCAGTATGGGAATCCAATGGGGTTTTACCTGCCAAATATTTGCTCTTGGAATCATTTAAAAAATGCATTTGGATTCATATTCATTTACAAAAGTAGCATCACTCTAAATTTTCAGGAATCAATTGGGCACAAACTTGCATCTCTCGTAATCCTACTCCACCTATGCTGCTCACACTCACGCATTACGCTCCAGTCGTGCACATGCACTAGGATCTGAGGTCTTCCAGTGCACAGCGCTGTGTGAGATGCATTAGCATAAGCTGACCTACATATCCGGGACTGCACACCAGCGCTACGCATTGTGCCCGCCGAACTGAATGGCACCTCACCCATGCCACTGCTGAACCCACCATCGCTATGGAAACCAGAACTTCACTGGCGGGCCTGCAGAGTTTTTTGTGCTATCCCACCAAACTAAAACCCATAGAGAAGACAGCACAGACTTACAGACCTGCTGAAATGGACACTTCTAGGAAAGATGCGAAGAAAATTACATTTTATGCACAATTATCTTAGTAGCAGCATGGAAGGCTCTTGGCACTATGGTGACATTTGTGTGTGTAAATCACACACTGACTGACCACTAATTTCAGAGAGTGATGTTAATACCTAGCAAAAAGTACCATGGTGGTATAATGTCACAGTGATGTTTTAGATGGTAATACCATGGAATTTTGATATACGGGTCAATAATTAAAAAGGATGTCTAGATAAAAAAAAAGACAAAACTCTCAAAAACATACTTCAAAATGCCAAAATTTTTAGAAATTATAATCTATGTTTTCAAATTGTTTTAGAATTAGTTAAGTGGTGTAACCAATAAATAAATACATTTTCTAATAATGTACCTAATAATATTTTTTAATCAAATTAAAACATTTTCAAACACATAGATCACACACACACACATCCATACATATACATACACAAATATCAAGAATTATTTATTAAAAAATTCCAAGTTCAAAACTCAACTTGCCTGTCCATACATTGATTGATTTTTCAATGATATTTTGAATCAAATGATATATAATTATTAATAACTTATTTTTATACAGTCAGAAAATGTTTTTTATATGATTCTGCCAATTATTTTTTTATTCTGCCATTTATTTATTTATTTGTTTATTTACTTACTTTTTGTTCTTACAATCTCAGGAAAGTTACTCCACCTAGAACCTTCTGTCTTTAAGCCAAAACATATTAAAATGACTTAATTTGGAAATTAAAATAATACATAATACAACATAATAGAAGACATAAGCTAATAGAAGAGGTGCATTCAAGTTGTATGCATTTCAATTTTAAGCAGGGTCTTGCTAATGTAATCTCGATATTATCTTTCGCGTTAACGTAATATCACTTATTTTATGCACGTAAGTAGAAATCGCGATACAAGTTTTATCCCCAAATCGACTCCGTTCAGTCAGTTCTGTCAGATTGCTCACCGCATCCCAGCAGGAAGCGCAGGATTATTCTGTCATACCTTACAGCAGGTGTTTGCACAGGTGAAAGCGTTCCGTCTCCAAACGCTTAGATTACAAAAAGCTGCAAACGATATTCCAACCGGTAGTAAACCGCTGTTTATAATCCATCTTTTTAATGCTGCCGTGCTTTAATCGTCCCTTCGCAGGGAAACAGGTGTGTTTGTGGGAGTGGCTGCAAACGCCTGGTACTGTACCTCCCTAGTGCCACTCACACTGACACACTCACTAGGGCACTCGGCAGAGGCTCACCTAACCTGTTGTGCTCTTCATTTGACTCTGGTAGTATGCTTGAAAACCCCTTCCCCCATACACAGTCAAATTAGCAGGTTTATATTTAGATACGTGCAGCATGTTTTGGTTCTCTCATAAATAACGAGGTAAACTGTACTAACTCTAGTAGACTAATCAAAGTTTTCCATACGCACCGTATAGAGCGTCTTGAGCCCGGTGTGGTAGATTAAACGGACGGAGAAGCCGGTTCTGTGGCGGTGAGGGGCAGCGGCCGTACACACAAACAGACAAGCAAACTATTGACATGCAGATCACTTGGCAGGGAGCTCCAGAAATGGAGTCTGACTGGGCGTTTGATTAGGGTCGAAACGTCGCTAATAACTATACATTCTCTTCAAACGTAGAAATATAACCGCTATATACGTTTTTGTCCTCATTAGAAAGCGATTATCAGGGCTTGGGGTTTGACCCTTCGCCGTCTGACTCTTCATCTTATAACTGACCAGTAAGAACAGCTTTAATTTTGCTTATTAAATGAGGAAAGTTTCAAATTTGTGTGGTAACTACATTTTTTTCAGTTACCACACAAAACTAGTGAGGCTGTAACCATAGCAACAGTAGTTCGCTCGAGCGTGCGGTTAGGAACGGAAAGAGTAACAGTTAGGCCTAAGCTACTATTTTTTATTAATCATTTACATAGGTTTACATATCACAAGTATGTCACAAAGCTACGTTTAGTTGCTTTAACGTCTTTAAAATTGTAGGGGCGCCAAAACAGTGGGCTGCACGAGACTAATTCCATTAAATTCTTCAAAACGTTGATAATTTCTTTAAAAACACAATACAATTACAACAAAACGAACAATGGGTAAACTATAGCATATAACATATGTTCATTATTAGGGTAAAATCCCAGAAGAGTTCTCAGAACTAACGTTTTGGCAGGGTTCTCTCAAAGTTATGAACAAACGTTCTCCCGGTAACGGTCTTTTAACGTTTTCTGGTCTTGTCTGGTCTGGGACCAGTTAAGGTTACTAGTCTTACAAATTTATTTAAGATTGGTCATAATTTAAAATTAAAAAAAAGGTTACATAAAAACTAAGTTGAATACAAAATATAAGACTGATTTGTTACCACATGGCTAACTGCTAACTGTCAGACTAGTTTTTAATAGGCACTATAAACTTGGCTAAGTTTATGCAACTGGCTCTCAAAACATTAGCTCTAAAACATCATTTGTATTGCTCATGGATTGTTTCTTCTGAATTTCTTAATTCATAATGCTAAAAATAACAAATGATTAAATGAAACTTTACCTAATGTTCATAGCCTATGTAAAACTTGGACGTTTTGAATGTTCAGAAATAATGTTTCCATAAAACGTTCTTAAAGCATGTTTTTGTTAGTTGGGATGAGGTAATATGACCCCCTCCTGTTTGAAAAATACTGAAAAATAGCCTATATGACATTGTGTTATATTGAATATCAAACGCTTTTGTGTCTGTTTGCTAATTTGTGGATACATAATATTTTTAGATTTGTGAATTCAAATGATTAAAATTAGGCCTATGGGTTAAGATGTCCCTGTCCTCCTAACATGTATATAGTAGGCTTACAACAAAACTGTTTTCAGATACTTACACTGCAGAGGCATTAAAACAGATACAGAATTATCTTTTACAGATAATTAATTAATTGAATAATTATTTTAAAAACATTTTACTTAATACATTGAAATGTGGAAAGGGCAATAATATATTTAGCTCCATCAATCAACTGTTGATGTAATGCAGGTATTTCTACACCAACTTTTAGGGACGGACCATTTTTTCTTCTTTTTTTGGACACCTGAGACATCATCACTTCCCCATGGTTTTGGTTTTGTAGGCACAGATGCTAATTTGCAGACAGTGCTCCCTTGTGGACAAGAAAAGCAGCTAAATCATTCAGACTGAGCATATACTAAAGTATGCAGGGTCCTCACTGAAATTTCATAATGAATTAATAGGCTACATGCCTACATCTAAGGCTTCATAGATTGTCACGAGAGAACACTGCTGACTTTCATTGCAAAAATATTTGGAGGACAGAATAGTATAGAATTATTATTATTTTTTGCTACATAATCAGAAATTGCTGTTTAACTTACCATATTCTTATCTGGTGTGACAGGCTTTACAGTCATATTTTCTTCGGCTATTGAGGATTCTGGTTCTCTTGCTGTATCCAAACTCTCATACACATTCTCGTCTTTATTCATGCCATTCCAGACGTCACCCCAGCCAGCTCTATTGAGCATCTGAATATCTTGATCCAGGGCCTTCGAGTCCACCCGAGGCCTTTCTGTTGCATTTACAGTTGATTTTATCTCCATTTTAGGGGATTGAGGTGTGTTAACTGTATGGAGAGGTGGCAGTATGATAGAGGGTGGTGTTTCCCCATTAGTTGGAGGAGCAGGGACACCATTAAAGACAACATCATTGTCTTTAATGGTGTCATAGATCTGGAGTTCAGGCACAGGACCGGCCTCTGCTTCAGTCTTTATGGGATCTGGATCCAAACCTTTCGGTTCAAAGAATTCCTTTGGAATAATATATGTTGATATTCTATGACCATCCTTCTCCGTGTCTCGTTTTATAGAGGCAGGGACTCGGAGTGTGACCTCAGCGGGCTCAATGATGGTGGGAAGACTATCAGGAGCTGTCTCTGAGTTGGACTTGAGGTATTCACTTCCACTAAACTCTTCCGGAGGGTCCAGTGGAGTTTGGTTGGTCTCAGGTGGGAGTTCGGTCACATAGGTTGCTGGGATGAAAAAAGGCTTGTCGGTCTCATCCCTCCGAACGTGCCACCAGGTTTCATTGGTCTTGGCTACTAGGATGTAGTGCTCGTTGGGTTTGATGGACACCTCTCTGCCATCTCGAGCAGTGTATTTGTATTCATAATTCACCAGAACCTGCTGTGAAAGTGACATAGTGGTCCACTTCTGATAATTCCAAACCTGTTATGTGGCTGGTGTTCAGTGCAAACAGGAAATCAGGGTCCGTATACAGTCATCATGAGATCTGAAGATAAAGGAGAAAAAAAAACAATAGGTCATTTGTATGAAATAAATCTGAAGTTTAGACATAACAAAAACACAAAATATAAAACACAAAACAAGAACAGACTTGCTAGAAAAAAGAATATTAATTAATACAAAATACAAAACAAAAATGAACATAAAAAACAAACAAATCGGAAACAATCAATACAATGAAACAAAACACTACAAACAAAACAAAACAAAACAAAACAAACAAACAAAAATCTAAAACACAAAGCAAAACTATGCGTAAAGACTTACTTGTGACAATAATATAAAAGAATGAAAATGCACAAACACACACAATCAAAACAAAACACAAAGCAAAACTTTATGAACAGACTTACCAGAATATAAAAGAAAAACAAAACACAGAACAAAGCCAAAAACTCAAAAGAGGAAACAAAACTAAACATGCAGACTTACAGAATATTTATATGTACAGAGTGAAACAAGTAGTAGGAAAGAGGAGAAATAAAAAGCGATACTTATTACAGTATATATAGTCAGTGTGTCACATTTAGGCTAGAATAAAAAGGCATGAAGATAAGGGCCCTTTCAGAGTATTTACCCTGAAATCTACTCATTTATATGATAAAATATACTGTTTATTAGCTTACAAATAAGACTTTTTTAAGGGGTGGGACTATCATATTCACAACACAAAATATTTGTGAAACAGAGGAATGCAGACAAACCAGGGGAACCACAGGTGTGTCGGAGAGGGAGAGATGAGAGAAACCTGTCAAGATTTGTAACAGCAGACGGCCTCAAAACTGAATATTTTCAGTGAAGATTTAGTTCAATACATTCTTTACTTTAATGAAACCACAAAGCAGAGACAAACTGCTGAAAATATACAAGCACGAAGGGATGAAGTAGAAGAGAAGTACTAGGCAATTGTTTTTATTTAAATTATAATGTGTGTGTGTGTGTGTATCTATATCTGTCTGTCTGTGTATCTATCTATCTATATCTATCTATCTGTCTGTCTATCTATCTATATATCTGTCTGTCTGACTATATCTATCTATCTATCTGTCTATATCTATCTATCTATCTGTCTATCTATCTATATCTGTCTATCTATCTATCTGTCTATCTATCTATCTATGTCTATCTATCTATCTGTCTATCTATCTATATATATATATCTGTCTATCTATCTGTCTGTCTATCTGTCTGTCTGTTTTCTTCTTTTGAAAGATATTGCCTTCAAGGCAGGTAGTTCAATTTTGTTTGTGAATTGTAGCACAGTGCAAAAGAGAAACTATACACTGTGTTGTACCATAAATTAGTATATTACTTAAAATTATGATTTGGAAGCTAAAGAAGTAGCTTTCAAAGTAGTTTTCAGAGTTGTTTAGCACTAGTGAGAATCAAATATGCTAAAAGCATGTAAACATAGAGTGACAGATGCACAACACTGGCTACAGGAAGTGAGTGTATTTTGCAGAGGAACGCTGCACTAACCCCAAACCTACACAGAAGAAGAGACACCAAAATAGAGGAAACATCAGCTTGTAAAACAGGAAAACACACCATGCTATGTGCAAACGGCAATCTCGGTTTCATTGAGGTTGTTGCAAAATACTAATTACATAATATGTAAAGCAGATCATTGGATGTTTCTGTGATGACTGATTAATTAATAAAAACTGCCACACCAGCAGCTGCTGGCGAAGACGTGAGTGAACATGTGTTTTAAGTACAGTCATCATCTGCTGTGCCTTCATGGAATGAACTGCAGGCAGTTAACGCCTCTAATGTCAAGAAAAATGTGTCCAAACCACTCGTGATCACATTCAGGAGTCCTCACTGCATCCAGCAACTGGATTGGAACTGGAACAGTGTGTTCAGATGATTGAACGATCATATAAAAAAAACCCTACACATATCTCACAATATATTATATAATGTATATAAATAAATAATGTGTGTGCATATATATGTGCCACCTTAAATGCCTTCATGTGCTTGAACCCCGGTCATTGCTGCTTGCAGCTATATTTGTATTTGTATCTACATAAACATATACAGTACACACTCATACAGTATATTACGTAAACACAAACTTTTATTTTGGACACGATTAATCACGATTAATCATTTGACAGCACTAATTTTAATCTTATATTTTGCTAATATCTTAATATTTTAAATCATAATATCTGTTTTATAACTTTAAAAACTAAAGGCAAAACAAAGTGAAACAAAACAAAATAAAACCAAGCAAAACAATAAAAACCAAAGCAAAGCAAAACAAACAACTTTGTACATGGTTGTGAATCAGGTCTTAAAGTAGGCTACAACTAAATGGAAGTCTCATTTGCCAATATTATTATCAGTTCCTGATGTACATATTAACATACAGATAGCAAAAAACGACTGTTGACAGTTGTTCATAACAAACCAGCGCAGATATATAACACAATGAGATGAGATATCAAATGCACTTACCATCAGAGAACACAATAATCCCTCGACGACTCCTCCTCTGAGCTCTGGGAATAATTCACTTTAGTAAAAAAGTATCATCTCTCTCTGTTTCTGGTTTAATCCAGGACGCCTCAGCCCCATACTTCAGACCTGTAACTGTTACTGCTGTTGTGGGAGGAAAAAAATGTGCCCAGATTTGTGCTGCTCGACGGGTTTGAGCGTGGCTGAGTGGAAGTGAGCAGGAGGGGTGTGCGAGCGTACAAACAGCAGTCCCGAGTGGTTTACAATATTTAACTGCATATTAAACCATCATTGTATTTACAGTCAGTCACCAAGCGAAGGAACAATTGTCCAAAGCTGGAAAAACTGAGAAATGAGGAAGCAGAAAATAAAAAAAGAGAAACGGTGAGGAGAACTTGTCAGCGCTGCTGTGTTTTTAATCATTGACATGGCAACACTGACAGAGGCGTGAGTATGAAGTGAAGGGCTGTTAATTCAAGGCTATTTCGGCTTTATGACTCATGTTTCGAGTCATATTTGGAGCTTGCAGACTTCAGACATGGGTGTTGGTGCGAACACTCTTGACTTTATGGAAGCTTTTTAGGTTCACCTCACAAGTCAATGGTGTTATTCTCTTGTTGGTTTTCCTTCAGTCTGTCTGTGCTGCGCTGATAACGTGGTCCAGGTCAACAGGAAATGACATAGTGTACGGTTTTGAAGTATGGGGTGGGGTTGAGGTAGAATAGGTTATCATTGAGAAAAAGGCATCCACATATTCATGTGGAAGCCAAACTTAGATTAGTAGACTAATAGATATTGTTGGAGCATTGGATAAAGTCTGGTTGAAAATTCTTCTTTGCAGAGGGAATTTAGGCTTCTTTTAATCACTCCATAAATCAGAAAATACTGTCAACAACTAGGGAAAAAAAATCTAATTAAAATTAGGTGAATGATATATGAACAAATGCCTATGTAAAAACCTTCAGAATATGGATGGGAATAAAACTGGAAAGCTTGGTGTTACTAAGTGCTACGGAAATGGATATTTCAATGAAAGACTGTTTCTGTTACGGAATATAAAAAAAAAAAACACGAAAAACGCAATTGTGGGGAAAAAAGCCAAAAAAATAAAAATAAAATAATAATAATAGTCAGAACTGTGAGATATAAACTACAATAAAAAATTCAGAGTGAGATAAAAAGTTGCAATTACCTTTTTTATTTTCTGGCATTAAAAAAGTCAGAATTGTGATTTGGTATCTTGCAATTCTTTTTTTCCCCTCAGAATTGCAAGAAACAAAGCCCAAATTATGAGAAAAAAAATTTAATTATAAAAGTCACAATCTTTTTATTTATTTAATTCTGTTGCGGAAACAAAAAAACAAACAAAAAAAACAGAATTCCTCAGAATTTTCTTAAGAATAGTGAGATTTTGGATATTTTCTTTCCACTAATCTAAAAGAAGACATGTTATATGGAATCAAAATTGTGCAGTACATGAAAAAAAAAAAAAGTCTTGTCTGTGATGTCTCACAAAAAGTAAAAAAATATATATTTCAAACTCTGACCCAGTGTTTAGTTGTTACACTGACCTGTGGCCTGTTTCATAAAACAAGTTTACCAAATAAACCAGGTTTATTTCAGTTAGTCTGACGTATTGTCAGTTGATTTGGTTCAAAATAAGTCAGACTAACTGAAATAAACCTGGCTTATTTGGTAAACTTGTTTTATGAAACAGGCCCCTGCTCACAGTCTATCATATTTTTATATAGCAAGAAGTTTGCTTGGTACATACAGGAAAGGGACAGAAACAAACACAGACAGAAAAAGAGTGCTAGGAGGCAAGAAAACAGGAAGAACCAGTCAGAGACACAAACACTGCGGTGTGGTTTGAGGGGAAGGACAAGTTAAAGACAAAAATATGCATCCATCTCTCTATAGCTGCTCTGTGATTCTAGGAAATGCCGTTTATGTTAAGTTCTGAGCATATATGTTGGCACGAACATATTGTTTTATAGATCAGCGAACACACATTAATGCACACAATTTCCAAGTGTAAATATTGTTGCTTTCATCAATGCTTTGGGTAAAAGCATCTGGTGAATAACTATATGCACATATATTATGAGGCATTTACTCCAAAGAATTAATAATAATAATATTAAAAGAAAAGAAGTTAAAAAGATAAAACATTAGGAATGTGAATCACTTTTGCTTATAGATCAGAGAAAAGCTTTAGTATTCATGACTGTAAAAAGATGGTTAGACTTTTGCCTCCTCTAGTGGCAAAACATAAGAAAGACAAAAAGTCATCTGGGATTTTCCTTCAACAGGTGATATAATGAAAAAAAAAAAAGTAGTACAAAAAAAATCCTCAGAAGAACGTTCTCTCTCATATTTCAGTCTCCAATATAAAACATGTGCTAATGAAGCAGTAGACAACCTTCATATGCATTCATTAAACCAGGAAAATAATACGTAAAAAGAGTTTATCCTTTGTATCATCCACAGAAATGAATGTCAGCAATTGGATTTCTGAACTGATTTTGTGGCAAGCATTAATAATTCACATTGGCTTATAATAGTTACATTTGTGGCACATCCCATTTTAGTGATGAATGCTACACTCAAACTTGAAAATAAAGGCACAGTATCATACAAAAACCACCTGTTAAAGGAGGTTGGTACATGTCACATAATTCCATTAACCACCCTCGTATTAAATGCGTACAACACCTGCATATACAACTTGTTAATGCATACAATGCTTTGTAAACTCGTAATGCTTCATATAAAACTTGGCATGTGACATTCGGATGTAAAAAAGTACTATAAAAACAAGAGTCATAAGATCCTTGGCATTCAAGTGCCTTAAGTGTCATAAATAAAGACTTCCTTGGCTTGACAATCAATAACGACCACGCAAGAAACAAAAAGGGAACTAAGACTTCTGAACACAAACCTGCAGAATTACATGTGAAGCCCGAAGAGTCGATTAACCATCAATTGTGCTTCCATAAAGTTGAAAAGCAAAAATCATAGCTTTAATAACAGTTCTCCCATCGTTGCAGAACAGTGCTGGTTTGGCATTATTGACATTTCATGAAAGAACAATCACGGGAGTGCTGATGTAAGTAAATATGTACAGATGAACGTGTAAATAAGTGCACTTAAGGTCAAGAGTCAAATAAAACGCTTAGTGTAAAAAAAAAAAACGATCAAACGCTTCCAGTTGGTCTGCTACTGAGAAAAATAATGTTTTAGATAGAATACTACAATAATATAGTACTAAAAGCTAAATCAGTCCTCCAAATCCCTCTCCATATACTTTTGTATGCGAGCGCAGCGTGGACAGACCGGACACTTGGCCTTGCAGGAGGAATGAAACACTGCTTTGCAGACGTCACACCTGAGAGACAGAAAACAGAGTCACACCGTCATCCTCATGATATTTCTCCCACTTCTGTGCGTCAGCTGACTGAATCACATGACTGTACTAGAAAAGAAAGTGCCAGCACAGCAGTGGTCTAGAGTGAATCTGATGTCTAACGTGTGTTACGCGACAGTACCTGGTGGTGCTGTCGAACTGGAAAGGGAAGATGATGTTGTCGGTGTTGCAGATCTGACATATAAAGCCCCTTTGGGTGCAAAGGTCACAGCTGTGCACGTGCTTGGACCCAAACTGAATCAGAGACTGCAGGTAAGATTCGTAGTGCCCGTCTGCTATCTGTGTGCAAAAAAAATAAATCACAAGTCTGATCACTTAATAGCACTCTTTTCTTCAACGAGGGTTATTTGCGGTATTCCCATTCCTAAAAAGGTACAAAAGTTGTCACTGGTGTCGTACCTTTTCAAAAGGTACACACTTTAGGTACCAGTATGCACCCTTTACGTGTACTTTTGAAAAGGTACTGCCCCAGAAACAACTTTTGTACCTTTCACACCAGTGACAGAAATACATTTTTCATTTAAGAGCAATATATGCCACCTTAAACTGATTTCATAAAAAAAAAAAAAAAAATGATACTTGATACTAGGGGCCAGATTTACTAAACAGGGCAAATTAGCATTAGAGCGCAATTCCATAAAAGCGCCTATGGGAGGGGAAAATTCTGCGGGTGATTTACTAACAATGTGCACATTAAAGAACACAGATGCAACATCTCATTTGCATAATGACCAGCGCAATCTACCAAGAGCAGCGCAAATTACCGCCTGCTTTAAAGGCCCGTTCACACCAAGAACGATAACTTTAAAGATAACGATATTAGCGTCCACACCAGCGAACAATATCGTCTGTTTATTCGAAGCGCACGTTTGTCTGCCGCTTTAAATTCTCAAGCTCGTGACAGCAGGATTGAATCTGATTGGCTGTCAATATTTTTATCGTTCGTCAGCTGGAAAAAATCGTTCTGAAAGTGATTCCAACGATATCGTTTCTCTGTGTCTTTATCATTATAGTTGTGGTGTGGACTCTGCTGTTCTTTAATATTGAGAATGATTTTTAGAACTATATCGTTATCGTTATCTTTATAGTTATCGTTCTTGGTGTGAACAGGGCTTAAGACATGCTTTTTTTGGACAGATAATGCCGCAAATACCAGTGAATTGACGAGCGCAAGTCTTAGTAAATTGCGTTGCGTGATTTATTTAAATACTCTCCTCCCATAAATTTACCAGTCGGAAAATTTTGACTCCTACAAATGCATATTCAATAACGTGAGTTGCAAAAATAACTGTCCGTGCCTTTTCAGCGCTAATTTCCCACTGTAAATCCTAAACTGTAGTTTTTTTTAAGCCAAATTGAGGGTTTGCACTGGCGCAAACTGATAGTAAATCTGGCCCAAAATATATATCTAAAACCACCAGTAGGTGGCGCCAAGTCACTGTCCTAATGAGTTGAGTGATTCATTCAAATGGCTGATTCATTTGGTCATTGAATGGCTACAAGTTTGTTTTGCGATTCGGCCCGAATCAGTTTTCTAAAGTGTTTTTGAAAAATCACTTACTCTGCCTTTAAGCTGAATCATTCAAAACGCGGATTCATTCAATAACGAAGCACTATGTGTTACTGGCTCAGAGACGCAAAACAGTTCTTTCATTTGGACATTTTCATTGACAATATAAAGCAAAAACAAAAATATTGACAACAATTGTGTCTAAATTGTAACTCAAAATGTTTATTGAACAATGAGATCGATATGAGATTCGCAATCGTGCTCATAAAACACCAATCGTGTGATTTTGCTTAACTATATCCACCTTATTTTGCAAAGCAGAGTTATTTTCCAAAAATGAATTGTATGCTAAAAGAGTAGTACGTTTTGTTTGGTAATATACTCGATCTCAGCTCGTCCATCATTAAAATAAAAATGACGATATTTTCAAAGATGATATGTATTGCACGCCCCTAGTCATTCAAATGATAAACAACAAGAAACAGCAAGCAATACCTGCTGCAAGTCCAATACACTGTATAGATCACTGTTATCCAGTAAGTATGTCCGCTGCTGAAGTCTGGAAATAAAATACAGATCACTTATCTGTTGCAATCATCTGTTAAAGACTTGATTGTGTCCCAATTACAAACACATGCATCTAAGAACACACACACACACACACCTGGGTTGGATCTGTTTGCTGATGCCGCTGCGGCAGATGAGGATGTAGTCTCCAAGAAAACGAAGTCTTTGTCTCAGGCTCTGCACTTTCTCCATGATGTCAGTGTGATCAAACAGGTCAGGATTCAAA